GCTCCATCCCTGGCTCCACGGCTATCCCAGTGGCATTGGTTGTTATCAGCAGCCTAGTGTGGCGTGAAGTGCATTAAGTGGAATCTCCTAGGCCTAACCTTGTGGTACATTAAACCGATTTTAGACGCACTCTGAGATTTTGGGGCAGCAGGCGGCATTCGATGAGGGAGGCCTTTTGTGTGTGTCTTGCGGATTACATTGAAAACCGGATGGCAAGCTTGACACGATGGTATTGTCACAATATACCCAGGAAAACACTCAATAACATTTTTCGATACCACAAGGAAGTTTCACCCCAGATTTAACAAAATAATTTCAGATTATCATCAGAGGTTTCATTCATTTTACAGATTATGAACATTTCTTTACAAAACCTAATAATAAACGAAGGGTACAACAACACAATACCTAAAGTCACAACAACTTAAGTTAGAAGAGCATAAAAGTTGAACTTTGGATAAATTGTTGTGGTTAACATTTCTGATAACTGGTTAATTATTCAGTGGTATTGAAATGGGAATTTTCCTGACCTTGTTTAATTTAATATCAGTGTTTATTCTCTATTAATATTTGAGTATTGATACATTTTTTTTTCTTTTTGACAACCTTAGTGAGGATTTGAGTAAATTAAAGAAAACTTGAGATTGGGCCGTCTCCGGACCAGTTCAATCAGTGGTGATCAGTGCTGCCACAGGGTCGCTGGGATATCGGCTTAGTGGGAACTGTGGCACATAGTGACCGAGCCCGGCAACCATCAGATACTAACATTACGTGTAGTAGTCCAGCTTGCTCTCTCTTGCAGCCTTTCACCACACGGGCGCTAGGATATTTCCTGGTGGCAATCTCGTGCTTTTGGACGACTGTGAACAGCGAACAGGAGTTGGCGGTTTGCTGATTACTAACTGTCAGGATTTGCATACATACATCCCAGGTCTGCACAAGCAACTCACTGGCAACAAAATCTAGATAAGATTGGCAAAATATTATATAAAGACCTTGCCTAGATGATAGCTAAAGTATATGTAACACATTTAAAAGGGACCAGTTGTCCTTTTTTCCTTATTTCTGTCATTTATTGTTACAATAAGCATTCATCAGTCAATTTTAGTGTCAAAATTGGGAAGAACGATAAAAGAAACTGCTGATCTACTGCAGTTTTCCCACCCAACATAGTTCAGTCTATAGCATGAAGACGATGAAGACAAAATCAAGTCCATCGATGCCATCGAGTGAAAAGGATGGTATTGTAGGAACAGGAAAGATGGCAGGCGGGGAGAAGATAAGAGTTCATTGCTACAGATGAAAGCAAATGCTGAAAAATAAGCCTCAGATAGGGACCAGTTCTCAAAAATGTGAGCGAAAGCACAAACACACGCTTGGCCTTATAATATTATTATTGCATATCATTTGAACATTTGCTCTCTCTGTGTATCATTCTGTTTAGGCTAATTATCTCATCATTTGTATTTGTACGACCTATAAAATATGAGTATGCCCAGTGGGTGTAGACACACTGTAGCCTACCAAGAAAACACACTTCTCTGGATAGAGTCTGACCAATTTATCAGGCAGCAGATATTAGCCATTTGTCCATCTATTGGTATCGCCAGTTATATCAGTCATTAAAGGGAAAATTTAAAAAACTGAAGTCGAGACTGGAGAAACACCCTTCAACCATGTTATGAGTGTGGATGTTGACTAGTTTGTCCACCAGAGGGCACTGTTTGTAATACCACAAACACGTAAACATGTTATTATAGCACATAACAAATATTAACTCCTGTATTGTTGGTCTCTATAATTCACCATAGCCTCATTGGTCTGTCCCATCCTTTTTTTTTTTTTT